AATTGTGTCCTGCTACCAACAAATCTCATAGCTACTTGGCTGCCGGGTGGAACCCAGACTTCAGAGTCTGTCCCATTACAGCAAGACAAGTGGTTTTGAGAACTGTAAACCATCAGGATTGCTTGTTGGAGGAGCTGGGGCAGCTCAAGTGCTCTTGTCCTTGGCCTTGCATGCTGTCACTCAGGGCTTAATGCCAGGGCCCCTGCATACAAGCACACAAATGTTAAGCTGTGCATCTGTCATGGATTGATTTGGATTTGTTTTATAAAGGTGGGCAGGAATGGGCAGGAACCCTGTTTTGGAAGGTGTGCTCAGTATTTTAAATGAGAAGCAAAATGCGCCTACTTCTGGGCACCTGCTGTCACTCCTCTGGGCTGCTTGGAAACAGGTGGCACAGGGTGTTTTGTGAAAGGCAAGTGCTAGTTGTGTTGTGGTTAGGTTTCATGGGTATGGTTAAAATGCGAGCAACACTTTTGGAAGAGTAATATGATCCACAGGTTTTCTCAATATTTACGTTCAAAATACTACTTTGTTTCTATACAAGAGGAAAAGGAAAGCTGTAAGAGGGACTTCGACAAAAAGTGACTAAAATTATGCTGATTCTTGAAAGAAGTCATATTTTATCAAGTTGCTCCTGTTATTTATTTTGCAGGATGAGTCAGTTGATTATTTGCAGCAGCCACAGACATGCTGTTTTACAAGAACCATGTGTGTGTCAAGTGCAGCATGGCTGAAGTGTTGCATGCTGGAAGGGTTTGTGTTGGAGCTGCCTCAAAACTCTGCTCCTCTTCCACAGTAGCCAGGGCATTTACTGTATTGCTAATTCCCTTTCCAGGAGAAAACCTTATGCTGACATGAACCTGCTGTGTGAAAGAAGGTTTCAAGAGATGTCAAAAACTTGTCTCCATCTGAAGCTGCTGATGCTGTAGGTTTCCAGGAAGTAGGAGTTAAACTAGGAAGTACCACATGAATATGAGGAAGGACTTCTTTACTGTGTGGGTGACTGTGCATTGGAACAGACTGCCTGGAGAGGTCATGGATTCTCCCTCAATGGCGATATTCAAGAGCTGTCTGATTGCAATCCTGTGCCATGCACTCTAAGATGACCCTGCTTGAGCAGGGAGGTTGCACCAGATGACCCCACAGTCCCTTCCAACCTGATCCATTCTATGACAGTAATAACCAGGTTCCATCAAAATGCAACAGGCACTTGAAGCATTACTTTCTGTTCAAGTTCCTGTTGACTTTTCACCATCCTTCTTAGCATTGCCTTGAAGCGCTTGTTTGCTTCCTCAGAAAGTGTTGTGTTGTCTGCTAATTCAAAACATTGTCAGGCCAGCAAAAAGAAAAGTCCTGTCATGTTGTTGTGGTGAAACAAAACATCCTGAACAAAATTATGGGGTGTTCATGTCCCACAGCATGAGAACTGCTTAACTAGCAGCTCATTATAGCAGTGTTGTGAAGGGCAGAACTAGACAGGTAGCACAGGAACCTGTGAAACACTGTTCCTCATTTAGGAAGGAGAAGGCTCTTGGCTTGTGTGTGATGGAGAAGGAAGGCAGAGGAGAACTCTGTACTTCATTCTGCTCCCATAAGAAATCTTTAGTTGTGTTTTTTTCTCCTTCATAAAAACTTCCCTTTCTCTGTGGACTTGTCTGGAAGAGTGTAAGTTCAGAGCAGGGTTAACCAGGGCCTGGTTGGAACAAAGCTGGAAGGAAGGAGGCTGTGAAAAAGAAGCCAGTTTCCTCTTCTCAGAGTCAAGGCATTCAAGGCTGTTGGAAGGCTCCCAGAAGGCAAAGAAGAAATGGAAACCAATCTCATTCTAGATTGCCTTGCATACAGGGATTTTTATAATTAAAGGATGTTGCCCTCTGCGCCCATTGTTGTTTGGCTCTGTGAACTTTAATTTTACTGTGAACCCAGTGCTGACTTCATACATGCTGGGGCTGTGGTAGAGGAGTGATCTTAAGTATTGAGCTCACCTTCCAATGAATGGGTATAGTTCTAGATTTTTTCTCTTTTTTTTTTCCTTTTCCTCCCACCTCTATGCCTTTTTCTTTTCTCATACTCTGCTGCATGGACTGAGCTATAGATGGGTAGTGTTTCATGTATGAAGCGTGGCATTCATACCTTCTCTTCAACAAGGGCTGAATGGCCATCTAAACTTCAGTCCTTCAGAAAATTCTTAAAGCAAGCTCATCATACATTGAGTGTAGCCTTGCTTTTCTCCATGCTTTGTAATACATGGCCAAGTATAAAAAGACATGATTTCTACTTACTAGACTTCTAGTTAGGCTTCGCTCTACTTCTGTCTTCTCACTATAGTTTCAACTGGTCTGTTTGGATGGTCTTTTTTATCTTACATGATAAGAAGACTAGGCAGGCAGCCAGCTGCTGTTGAGCTATAATAGGGCCAGTGGTATGTACAAAATTTGATTACTACTGTCAACACCAGAGTGAATGGAGGAGAGCACGTACTCCAGTCAGAGAGCTGCTAAATAAATGGCCTATTGAATTCAGTAGTAGTAGAAATAAGACTATCTTCTCCTAATGAATGGAGTGGTTTGTGGGTAGAGAGTGTGCTAGTGTGTTGAACTCTTGAGTTTGTTTAAAAAAATTAAAACAAAAATCTTCTTTTGCTTTTTTTCAAAATAAATTTCCCCAGAAGTTTCCATTTCTCTCTTCCTTATCAGCTCTTGCGGTTAACACATGGATTTCACACCCAATACTTCAGATTTTGGGAGAGACCATAGTTTTGCTTATAAAATGTAGTCCAAAAAATATTTCTGCCAATCTAAAGCTAATTTCTTTGGAGATGGGTTCTGACATGAAACTATTTAATGTTAATAATTCTGTCACCATTTAGGCAAGAGATGCACTATGTTTAAATTAAAAAACCCAAACAACCCCTCTTATTAAGTTAATAAATATTGTCAGTGTATATTCTTATTGAAATGTTGGGTTTTCGAGGCAAAACTTGCTGCTAGATGAAAGCAGTGTCTCTAATGTACATGCTGCAGCTGCTGATGGCAGGCAGAGCTTGAGAGCTGAGGTTCTCTGGAAGTTCTCGTGTATGAGTGGTTTTCTCAGCCTTGCTAATAGCTTCACATTGAAGTTTAAGAGACTGATGGAGTCTGAGGTCAGTGTTTCTCTAACTGCTCTCACTGATTACAAACCCTTTCTTTTTTGAGAAGTGGGAAACCCAGAAATGTTGTGATGAACTAGCTAACTTGTGAAACTTGTGCTTATTCTTCAGTCTTGGCAAGTGTGGGTGGGCCTTGTCTTGGAGTGGCAGGGACCAAGGTGAGATGAGGCACTGGACAACAGGAGAGCATTCTTAGGGAATTCAGACCAGTCTCAACAAGACCTGAAAAAAAGGAAGTTCTGGTGCTGTTGTAAGACTTCTGACATACATACATAACTGTCTGCTAATTCTCATTGTATGCTTGGGGGAGTCAGCAGCATCTTTGTTTTGTGCTTGTGAAGTGCTTGGCACAGTGAGGTTTATATTTGTATTTACTGTGACAAAATAAGTCTTTGTTTCTAAAATAGAAATCTTAGCTTTAAAACTTTTATTACCTTTCCACATTGCTCTTGTTTGTGTGGTTCACAGAAATGTTTGGACACAAATGTCTGATTTAGCCCCCTGAATGTATGGTTGTCTTTATTCATGGAAACAAAACTCCTTTTGTGTGAAGACTTTTGTGTGAAGTCTTTTAGCCTTCAACTTTGAGGAATTCTTAAAATTGGGGGAAAAAAGCCTCCAACCCACAAAACTAACTAAGACCTACTCCTGGTCTGCAAAAATTTAAAGAAAAATCTGATCTTGATTCCCCCCTCCTCCCCTCCCCCAAATAGTGTCTGGTGTGTGACACAGTAAACTGTACCAACTGAATATTAATGAAGAGATGAGAGCTGTATTTAGAACGGTTGTCTGATAGCATAATACAATGAGACAGGCAAATCAAACAGCATCTGTCTTTCTGCTGTTGAAACCAGTTCTGCTGTTTAGAATTCTCTCTGGTCATCGTGCTTGTACTTGTGTTACAGTTAATCTCTTCTTGCATTACTTTCTTGTGGCTATTGGAATTTTGTATAGTTCAGTATCTTAAAGTGTGTCATCTGGAGTTGTGAATCTTTCATAACTACAGAATTTGGAGTCCTCTTAATTTGATAATAAAGTTGGTAACAGGATTCTGAAGACAGGGAGATTGGATTTGCTTTCTGTACTGTGGTAAGAACAGTTTAAAGGCCTACTTGTAAAATAACTCTGATGCTATCACAGCCTTGCATTACTAGCCTTCTGCTTTAATGTTCTGTGCTCTGTCTTATTGGGAGTTCCTGCACAGTGGAAATGCCATGCCTAATCAGAGTTTGTAGTTTTGACTTGGAGGTTTATTTGCAGGACTTCCTTTTCATACTGAAATTGTAATTACATTTAAAATTTCTTGCACTCTTTTGAAAGGCCATTAAAAGATGTGGATGCTCCTTGCAGAGTTGTTCAGGTTTCACATTCTGTCGAATATGTGGAAAAAAACGTTATGGCAATAACGCAAGCTTTTTACAAAGTAAATGCTAAAAATATTTAGGATTTTTAAAATGAGTGTGGTATTTGACCAAAGAGGTTGATTTGAAGAGAAAAGGAAAACTGCCACCTGCTTTCCTGTTTTCGGTATGTGACATTTAACTTGCCAGTTCTCTGAACGCTGGAGTGTCCTCCTGTTTTCATAAGGAGTGGCAAAGCAGCATATTCATCTCTTTTTAAAGAGAAAAGAAATCTTCATCAGCCTGAAGTCCATTAATTGTTTACGTGCAGCCTTTTAAAAGATTAGTTTCCTGACTGGTTTTGTCAGTCACTCTGTGGCTGAACATGTCAAACCCTCTGAGGAAAACCAGCGCTTCCCTCCCCCTTGAATCCCAGCATGCAGTTCTTGCGTAGGTACTAGCATGTACTTCCTCTGCATCTTCACTTTCCTGTTTTTCAAAGACTGAGCTTGAGCATGAGCATTCAGACAGCCAAAAAAGTTGTGTGGAAAAAGTACAAGGTTGCTGTGCCTCGGGACACCGACAGGCAGACCTGTTACCCTCTGCTGGGTGAGTGCTTACCTCTGCTCTGAAGGCTGGGGTAGATAAAGGGATCTAATGTGGGTCTGTTTTTATCTTCTACACCTGATGCAAGCTGCTTTTCTTAACTTTGTTAAAGTTAGTTTACTTTAACAGAGCAGGTTGTGGAAGGCAGGAAACAGAGCAGGGAAAGGCTGTTTTCTGTGGCACTGCTCCATTGCAAGCGCTGTGTGAGCTCTGGCTGCATCACACCTGCAGCCACAAAATCCTCTTGGTAATGCTTGTGTTGTGGGCTTCCCTTTCACCTATAACTTGAACCTTTTATGGCATAATTTTTACTGCTGTTCTGGCTGATGGAAAGTCTTAATGCGCCAACCTTTCTTAAAACTGCATTAAGTTATAGTGATTTCACTGTTTAGTTTTGATTCTTTACAGTTCTGCTCACTGTGTCCTCTGGGACTTTTGGATGTATATACTTATGGCAGCTCCTCACCCCCACAGGTTTTTTCTTCCTATTTTGGTGGTATCTGAGGAGAGACAATATTTCCTGTAATTTGGAAAGAATATGTTTTTTGGAGGGGTGCTTTGGAAGAGAAATTCGGGATATTACTTTTTCCTTTTCTTTTTGCTGTCTTTCCTACCCATTCCAATTGAAATTTCATGGATTGTCTCTTCTGCTGTTTTGTGAATGGGGCCAAATAACACAGATTGACAAGGAAAAGACAATTTGAGGATTCCTACTATGTTTGAGTATGCTGTTTAGATACAGTAATTGACAGAGTGGGCTGTTTATTTTTTGAATCACTGTCAGAAACTTGTGGATGAGGAACCTGCTGATCGATAGAGAATTTGGTCCATTTGACTTGACTTTTGATGTGGGTGTTTTGGTAAAAAGCTGAAGTCTGAATATGGGTTTTTGGAGAAACACAAATCCTCTAAAGATGTATCTGCGTAATGGCTAACTTTAGACTAAAATGATGGGCTGGGACTCGGATCTCACTTATGTTTGTTTCTAGAACAATGAGGTGGATTTGGATATATGCCCGTTTAGTTGAGAGCAGAAACTTTGCCTTTACGGCTCAGTCCAAGCTCTCTTAAAACTGACAAAAATGTCAAGAAAACTCAGTAATGTGAATGGAGTTGCTTTTGACAGACTCTGGAGAGCTCACTAAATTATATGTTGGAGAGATTTAGTGTTCTTCAAAATCTGCACGTATTCAGCCTGCTAATGTGAGACAGCTGCAGTTCATCACTCTTGGAAGGCTAGCAGCAGGAGAAAATCAGTCTGCTTAGTTTTTAACCTGCACTCTTGTTTGGGGAAAATATTTGTTCTGGCTCTGTGTGAGGATTTTAGCACTATTTCTTGAGGGTTATTTTTCCCCTTTCTTCTTTTATTGCTATATTTTTAGAAGAGCATAAACTTGGGGCAGTTGTTAACACGAGCCATGTGACTAGCTGATGAACACTGCAGTTGTGAAACCTCTGAAAAGTTCATCTATGAGATAACAAGGGTCAGTCTCTAAGGTTTTCTGTCTCAATCTTTCAGGTGTTTTTGACAAGTGCCGGTATGTATGCGCATTTAATATTTGGTGATGTTTTTGTGTCTATGGGTGATTTCTCTGTTGCTTGCTGTACTTGGGGCTAAGCTAAGGTGTAATCTCCTAGTTGAGTAGCAGCTACATGCATGCTCAGGTGCTTTATATGACTGTGCAGGGGTTTTAGTGACTGTTTCTTAAAGCTTGTTTAACTCTTGAGTGGAGAGCCCTTGGTTTTTAAAAGCATTATTTTATAATGGCTGGTATATTGCAATTATAATTTTTCTTAATCAAGCAGCAGGATTTTTTAATTTTTAATTACTATGTGTTTGGAGGCTGTGAGGGTACTGGTAGCTTTGGATACTTCTTAGTATGTTGGAAATGCACAGAGGCGAGGAAGAAAAATCTGAAAAAAGGTAGAAGATGAGAAGCATGGAAGGGAAAATGAGAAACTAAAGGTAAAAAGTTAAATCAGGGTTGTGGGTGTGGGGGAAAGCTTTCCTCTGAGAGGATAGGATTTGTAATGATACAGTACTGGAAATAAGCAAGGAAAAAATGGGTGGAGAAGTTGGGAGGGGTGTGTGTAATTGTTCCTTCATGTCATTTGCTTTTCACAGAAATCCAGAATGTAAATAGCAGAGAGACTTTTGAGGGGTGTAGGAAGCACCTTGTGTGCAGCTCTGGCTAGAAGGTTTAGGGGTGGTTGCTGCCCTGTAAATGTTGCAGTGACAGCAGAGGTGAGGCTTTGGCTTTTTTGGTTACCTGCTTGCTGTGAGAATTGGCAGGGACTGGAGGAAGCAAGGTTAAAGCTCGTATCTGCTCAAGTATCTGGATACAACTGAATTAGTTTAGGTGAAAACAAAATGGATAAGACTCTCTTCTGTCCTTTGAAGCCTAAACAACATGAACATGTTTAATCAGGTTGGTTCATGACCTAAAATATACTAAATAATTTAGCTTGTCTAGTGGGATGTCCTTTAGAAATGTCTAATCTCTCTTAACAACCTTTTGAGTTCTCAAGTTAGTGATAGGTGTTGGGAGTGTGGTGGCACTAGTAGGCTGCTGGTGCCTAAGTGGAACCAGAGTTTGCCTTTTATCTGTGAGGGGGGGAAAAGGAAAGGATCTTGTACTTCCTTCACCTGTTCAAACATATGGGCTTTCTTCTTTGTTGTTCCATGTCATGGGAAATAACTTATATTCTTCCAGGAAAACTTCCACAATTGTTCCAGGAAAATGATGGGGCTATTTTGTATTTATATATACATACACTACTGTTGCAGCAATATTTCATGTGATGATTTCTTAAAAGAATTTTTTTTGCCTCAATTGCTTCATTACCCAGATGGATGTCACCCTGTCATTTGAGGGGAGGCTACTTAGCCTGTATTAAGGAGGCAGAAAAAGATGCCAGTTCTGTGAAACCTGCTGAAAGCAGTTGCCTTGTGGCACTGTTCCTATAAAATGTAAACTCCTGAAGCCAATAAAACACTCTGCATTGCTGAATGATCTATGTTAGCACCTTAGCAATATGCGACTACATATTGTTTTGTTATTTTATCCATATAATTGTCAACACAAGCAAAAGAAATCGATTTATATTCTAATGTGTGAACTAACTGTGCTGCTACCACCCCAGTGATTGAAATGGGTGTTATTTTTTTTGATAGCAGTAGAAGGTAACGGTAGTGACATGACAGGCATTTTGCAAATGGATAATTTGATAATATGTCTTTGGAAATGCTGAATTTAGCTTCTGTGAACATTTGTGTCTCATTTCTTTCACCAGTAGTCTCCCTTTGGAAATCCCAGGAACACTAGCCTACAAATGAAAAGCTTCCTTTCAGGTGGGAAGGAATTTATCTGTTTCCACAAGATACATGCACTGATAGCAGCTTGAAATTATTTGAGACCACACACAGCCTATTAACAATAGTCAATATTTATGGTATTGGTCATATTAGTGTAAGCTCTGGGTTGCTTAGTTGTTTAGTAGAGCTTTGCTGGACCTCAAATCTGATTTCAAAAAACTCTGGCTTTTAAACTCTTAAATGGTGTATTTCCCTTTTGGTGGCAGGTGATGAAGGATGTGTTCTGAAATCCAGTATAGCTATAGATAAGAGCAGGTTACAAAGTAATTACATCTTATTATATAGTTGCCTTTTGAGTCTTCACATAAACTGATTTCCAAGTTCTGCAGGATTTAAGAAAATACCTTCTTATGTATATTAAACTATTAAATGCACTGTAGGGAGTGTTGTGCTGCTGGATGCAGTCTGTGTCCCTCTGTGCTGTGTTGGACGGAGTGGTGCCCATGACTCACTTCTGCCATATGGAGAAACCATGTTCCTCCGACCGGTGAATAATCTGCTGCTGGTTCACTTTTATGTTTTCACTGAAATGTTGTGACCCTTAACTGGAGGGCTCCATATGCTTCCTGCCCTCATCCCTGATGAATAGGGCAGGAATTGGCAGCAGTGTGGTCTGCTATGTGACCTCATTTGTGTGGCGTCTGGGTGGAGCGCGCCCTAATCTTCGCTAAGCGAGCGGCTGAGAAAGCGAATTGCAGTAATTCCCTGGCTGATCCTTTCAGTGGGTAAAGAACAGGCTTGTGCTGCAGGGGAAGGAGATGCCTTTACTCTGACACTTGTTATGTTCCGGGCTGAATTTCTAAGTGCTCAGAAAAGCAGCAAATGGTGCAAGGTTCTCTGCAGAAATTGGGAAATGTGCTGTCCAAGTTGGGTGCTGTGCAGGGTGACAGTCAACAGTTTTCCCTTGTGCCTGCCCAAATCAAACCTGGCATGCTACAGTGTGCACTGACAGCCTCTGGTAATATTTGACAGTTAAAAAAGCATTTAGTATTGCTTGTGCGGGTGGCAGCAGGTTGGTTGTATCTGTCTTGCTGAATTTCACTACAGTATGGATTTTGTACTGCAGTTATGAAGTATCTCCTCCTTATTGAGTTAAAATATTGCTCAGGCTTTACCGTTCTGGGTCTGATTAACTTGAAATTAAGGCCTGAGACATATCAACTTAGAGTATATAGGTGTGATGTTCAGTTATATGCCTGGGATGTAAGGAGTGTTGGGCACTTACTGGAACCACGACCATGTCAAAGATCACGTATTTCCCATTGTTCTGGTAAATTGGCTAGGAGTGCAGAGTTTTCTGGCTGTGAGGTTATCTTCTCAAATAGCATGTGATGACCAGGCAGGTCCTGTCCCTGCCCACACCCTCTTGTATTGGTGACTGGTTCCAGCCCTGTGCTTTCCCAGCGTTGCCCCTCGGTTGCCCCCCAACATCAAGGCTTCAGGACTGCCTGCCTTGGGTTGAAAGAGAGTACCCTGCTTGGCTTCCTTAGCTGCTGAAGTGCTTCTTTTTCTCTCAGCTATACTTTTCTCCTGCTAAAATTGTACAGCTCAATCATTTTAAGCTTCAGATTATTTTAAAAGGTTCTTATCTGGTTTAATACCTTGTAATGCAAAATATTTTTAAAGC